CTAAACCATGTCTGGGTCTCTGAACTGCTAAATGAAATATAGTGACAACCATACTTTGGTAAAAACTGCTGTTTGAATTTTAACCTTGCTATCTGACTTCCACCTTTTGCTTAAACAATAGGGTAGTTACAGGAGATTGACTCCCACTGACTCAGTAGCTTCAGGGGTAGAAACTGTAGATAACCTTTAGTTCTGCTTTTGTGTTATGGGCAAGGTAGGGCCACATTCCAATGTCTAGCAGGATGTGACTGGGAACCAACCCTGTGGGCTGTCCCCAGTCTTTAGAATTTAGTCTTTAGGATTTTAGAACAAAGGAAAATTCCTGTGGTTTGAATCTTTAAAAGAGACTGCCTACCCCTGAAACGGTGCAGTCATTTGGAGTCCACCTGCGTGTGGTGCTCTCGCGGCTGTCCTGGCCAGTCAATAAATCCTTGCCTGCTTTTTTTTAATTAATTAATCAGCCTCCAGTGGTCTTATTTTTGAACCCAGGGTTTGACCCCAGAACACTAATAATCTTCTCCACCTGGCTACCCACTAGTAAACATTCCCTTTAAATTTCAGGGGGAAAAAGTAAAAATTTTACAATCTTAAATACATGCTCACAATAAGTGTAGTATATAATTGTAGTGTATAAGTCAATGACCTTTAAGCACACATGGTAATTGATATCTGTGATGTCTATGTAATAATTATTAAAAATGTCTTCAAGATCTATTTTATTTATAATCTTGTGCAAAATGATGAAACTGAAAGTGTGTTGACATAACTTTGGTGGCAAGTTCTATTATAATAATGAAATGTATAACCTTGTTTAACAACTATAAGTTTAGTATTATGAAATCTTTTTTTTTTTAATCTATCGTTATTGTTCATATTATTACAAAGGTTCCTCATTTCTTCCCCCCTCCACCAGGTTCCCACCCCACCCTCTGCCCCCTCCCATCCCCCATTGTCCTCATCCATAGGTGCACAGTTTTTGTTCAGTCTCTTCCTCCCTCCTTTTCCCCGATAGTAAATCCCTTTTCAGATAGTAAATCAGTTACTTAGCATTTTCTCATATCAATAATACCTCCACATGCCCAATGATACACTTCACACAAAAGACATTTCCAAATAGGTCAACCAGCCTCATCCAGGCCCCACCCAAGGCATTCACAGATCAACACCCCAGCGCTATACTAACTCAACACATCCAGATCTAAGCCTTCATCACTTGATTCAGCAGACCCTCAAGTTCCCACAAAAGTTTCCAGCCATGTCTGAGAGGCAGCCGTGAGGCAGGGGCAGGCGAGGAGCGAGCTGTTCCGGGCCTGGCTGCTCCGGGCCTGGTCTCTGTTGCTCTGGTTCGTTCCACAACCAGCTGCTCCGGGTCTGGTCACTGCTGCTCCTGACCTAGTTGCTCTGGACTTGGCTGCTGCTTCTCTGGGCCTGGCCACACCCGACCCGGCTGCTCTGGGCCTGGTTGCTCCGGGCCCGGCCACTCCGGGCCTGGCCGCTCCCAGCCTGGCAGCCGCTGCTCTGGGCCTGGCCACTCCCAGCCTGGCAGCTGCTGCTCCGGGCCTGGCCGCACCCAACCCAGCTGCTCTGGGCCCGACTGCCCCAGGCCCGGCCGCTCCAAGCCTGGCCGCTCCCAGCCTGGATGCTCTGGGCTTGGCTACTGCTGTTCTGGGCCCGGCTTCTCCGGGCCTGGCCACTCCGGGTCTGGGTGTTTCTGGACTGGCCACCCTCAACTTGGCTGCCTCCGCCTCAGGCCTGGCTGCCACTGCCCCAGGTCTGGCTGCTCCAGTGCTGGCTATTGATGCTCTGGTTCTGGCTGCTGCTGCTCTGGGGCCTGGCCGTTGCTGCTCTGTGCCCGGCTGCCACTGCCTTGTGCCTGGCCACTCTAGGCCTGGCCGCCACTGTTCCAACATTCTGGGGGTTTTTTGGTTTTTTTTTTTTTTTTAAACGCATTTATGTTGCAATGTTGGCTGGTGAGTTGAGTTCTGACTTAGTCTTTGATTTTTTCAAGATCTTCTTTGTATTCTTTCTTAAGTAATTTTACTATCTTTTGCTCTCACTTGATTTCTTCACATTGAGAACTTCTTTGGTTTCTTCCTCCTTGTCCTGGGAGCTCAGCAGGTTGGCCTGTGGCACCCCTTTGTTCTCCGCAGGCTCCTGCGCTGCTTCAGCCTGTTGCCGGGGTCGGCGCCGCCCAGGAAGCAGCCCCCGGCCTTGGCTCTGTTGCCTGTGCTCAGCGGTTGAAGGCTCAGGGGCACCCCCCTCCCCCCCGGGGGCCCCGTCACCCGGCTCCTTGCTGGTGCCCGGCTGGCCGGTGTCTGGCAGGGTCTCCTGCTCCTCATCGCGTTCCTCCAGCCTGGAGCTTTTTTTTCTCCTTCCTGCTAGGGGAGTCTAGGATCAAAGTCAACAGACTGTCCTCTGCACGCAGTGTGCGCGACTCCGGGGGCTCCGCTTTTCGCAGCTCCCCTGGGATTCCGCCTCACAGCCCCGTCTCCCCCTGCCTGAGCCTGGGTCCCCAGGGTCTGGCCTAGGACTGGGGTTCAGAGCAGTCCGGACTGAGGCTCAGTGCCGCCGGAGGCTTTGTTTCTTCCGGCTAGGGTAATCCAGCATCAGAGTCAACATTCAGTCCTCTGTGAGCAATGTGCACGCGACTCCGGGGGCCCTGCTTTTCGCTGCTCCCCTGTGATTCTGCCTCACAGCCCCGTCTCCCCCTGCCAGAGCCTGGGTCCCCAGGGTCTGGCCCATAACTGGGGGTCAGCGCTGCCGGTTCGGGAGTTTAGCCCAGGCTGGGGGTTTTATTTCCTTCCTGCTAGGGAACGCCAGGCAGCACCCAGCCCTCTCCTCCTCTCTGGCTGTGATCTCTCCGTGCGCGTGAGTGCGCAGCATGTCTCTGTACCTTAGGCTTTTTTTCAGCTCCTCTGATTTTCCTTCTGGTTTTCTCTTTCCTTCTTGTTGTAGCATTTTCAGTCAGTCGACTACCTGTAGCTCTGGGCAATGTCCACTCTACATTTTAGTTGTATTCCATTGAAATTGTTGTGTGCTGCTGCGGTTAGATGTCTACCTGAGCAGCCATCTTGGATCCTCCCTTGGAAAGCAGTATTATGAAATCTTTACAATGTTATAGATACCTTAATGTATATTTTTCATAGATCTGATTTATTCATCTGTTGTGTTGTTCCTTGTCTTTCTCAGTAGAATGTAAGTACTATAATTTGGGATGATGTGTTTCTTATCTCCTGCTAAGTCCCCAGGACATAAAACCCAGCCCATGGGATAAATGGAAAAAATGATATTCAAAATATTAAATAATTACATGAATAAAGCACATCAGATCTGGAAAACCAATGAAATAAAAACCCATCACAAAATCCATAAGTGGCATAGCTTTCCTGGTTCTGTGACTTCACCATTCCAGTGCCTCTTTACAAATCTGTATGTGCTCGGTTCCAATTACTGCCTTAGACTGGGTGAATGAACAGATCACCAATAGGCTCCAAAACATAAAGCAACTCATACATAATGTAAATTCCCTATTGCTTTTTAAACAGTCCTGAATATGTCTGATGAGCCTCCTATATGCTGTTATCCAGTGAAGAGGCTGATCACAAGTATGCCACCTTAAACATGTGGCTCCCAAGATTGCCTTGGAATCATGGCTCTTCCAGACAGCAGGGAGGAGGTAGAAATATGTGGGGGAGCATGTGTGAGGGATATTTTGGGGGTGGGCCTGTAATTTTCACTCATAAGACATTGATCCACATCATTCACTTTGCCAAACCATCTGTAAAAGAGTCTGAAAAACATAGTCAATCTATTGCCCAGAAAGATAAAGACATTTCATTTAGGACATGGATATTAGAGGGCACTTAGTAATCTTTCCATTGAAAAGCCTATAAGGTATTATAAAAGAAAAATATCCTGTGCTTAGAAGGGCATCATACTTGTTCATGTCACTGATAATTTCAATGCCTTTACATCAGTCTTGAACTTGCTTCTGTATTCCTTCATAAATTCTGAATAATTCAAGCTTCCACTAAATATTCCTGACTTCACAAAACTATAATTGATTTTGCATTGTAGCATTTGTAGCTGCCTTGTGTATATTCCGGGTATATTTTGCTGATAAGTTCTGAGTTAGCATTTATAATATTTCTCCATGATTATTTTAGGATATTTGTTCTAGGACTTGGGTGTGGGCTTTGAACTAGAAATAATTGCAATAAGTTATTTATGTAAATTAAATTACATCAACAAAAATACTAGATATGTACAAGGATCTTATTGATAAGTAGCAAATCATAACTGAATTATATAAAAGCTTTCCCCCCCCTTGTGCTCGCTTCGGCAGCACATATACTAAAAGCTTTCCCCCTAGCAATTACTATTCAAAATTTAAAGTATTTGCATTTAGATGTATGTCTTTGAACTAGAAATAATTTAATAATTTATTATAATTGTAAATAATTTATATATAAATTAAATGCATCCACAAAAATACTTGATGTCTGAGAATCTTATTGACAAGTAACAACAAAATTATATAAAGGGCCCCCCCCCCTGAAATTACTATTCAAACCTTAAAATATTTGCATTGAGATGTATATTCCAAGGAGATAAAAATACACATTTGTGTAAAATAATCTTTCTCAGATTTGCATGTTTACTTTGCATCACCATTTAGTCAGTGGCACAAATGAAAATTTGCAGCTGGTGTCAAGACAAGTGGACATCATTTGTGCTTCTATGGTAGCTGATTGTAAGAAATGCTGCAAGTATTCCTGAAATGTGTGTGTCTTCACAGAACTGTTCAGTTTAGCACTGGACTTGCAATACAAATAGAATGCACTATTCTTTTGTGAAGGTCTCTGAAACTATATCTCAAAGCAGAATTTTGGTTGTTCTTTCTGGAATTACGATGAAAATGTTTATGGCAAGCATCGTAAATGGATGTCCATCTGCAACTGTTTCACTATAAAGTTTTCATTAGAAAAATTCTCATACAGATGTCGTTTGGAATAAACGTCTCCATTCTAGTCGTGGCAACAGGAATACTCATCTTAGGAGTGTTAGGAAATGGATTCATTGGACTGGTCAACTGCATGGAATGGTTCAGGACTGGGAAAGCTTCCTCAGCTGATCTCATCCTCACCAGCTTGGCTCTGGCCAGAATCATTCAACTGTTTCTAACGCTATTGGATTCATTTATAGTGGGGATAGCTCCACATCTGTACGCTACTGGTAAACTAGCAAAGGTGGTTACTATTCTTTGGGCACTAACTAATCAACTGACTATCTGGTTTGCCACCTCCCTCAGCATTTTCTACTTCCTTAAGATAGCCAATTTCTCCCACTCCTTTTTCACGTGGCTGAAGTGGAGAGTCAACAGAGTGCTTCTTCTGCTTCTCCTGGGGTCTTTCTCCCTACAGTCTCTTAATATCTTACTGCATCTCGCTGTTAGTGAATATTGGTTGAATTCCTACAGGGCACATGAAACAAATATGACTTTGCAGTTAGAGGCAAATGAAATGTTCTATCTTAAAAATCTTCTTCTTCTTCTTACTTTGACTTATATTATCCCCTTTTCCCTGTCCCTGATCTCTTTGCTCCTTTTATTTCTGTCCTTGGTGAGACACACCAAGAATTTTCAGCTCAACCTGACCGGCTCAGGGGACTCAAGCACAGAGGCCCATAGAAGGGCCATGAAGATGGTGACAATGTTCCTCCTCCTCTTCATCATTTACATTACTGCTCTTTTAACAGCATCTTGGATCTTCACTGATTTACAGACATATCAGGTCAAGATGTTTATCATGATGATTTTTACTATCTTTCCCTCAGGCCACTCTTTTATTATAATTGGTGGGAGCAGCAAGCTAAGACAGATCGCCTTGAACTTTATAAACAGAATTTGAAATAACCTTGTGCTTTCTATGGGAAAGTACCTTAATAGAAAACGTTCAGCATTTCTTCATATCAGGGTTTGTTAGACAGCACTAAAATTTCTCTACAACATGCCTTTAAGTAATTACATTTTCCTTTTTTTTAATATATAATAAATCTTTATTGTGCAGATTATTACAGGTATTCCTCTTTTTATTTCACCCCATAGCTCCTCTCTACCTGATTCCCCACCCCACCCTTACCCCCTGCCACTGTCTTCATCCATAGATGTAAGATTTTTGTGATATGACATAACATTTGACTAAATTACATGTCTCCACTGTATTAACAGTTTCTGGTAACAGTAGAGTATTTGAGACCTGAAGCAGTATGGTTATAAAAGTCTATAATGAAATACTGATAAATGTATAAACAATATAAAATGCAATGTGAATAAGTGTATATAGAATTACAATTACCTAAAGGGAAAAAGAAACATAAAATTTTCAAAGTAAAGATAAGTTTGAAATTAGGATATAAAATGAATTGTAAATGCTAAGTATAATAATAATTTATATAAATACTAATGTAAATATAAATATTAGTGTGATGCTTCTAAAGTTGGAAAGGATCTGAAACAATGGGAATTTTCAGCTGTAGTTCTTGGATTATGATTGGTAAAACAACTTTGTACAAGAGTCTGGCATTATTTGGAAACAACCTAGGTGCCTGACAGCAGATGACTGGATCAGAAAACTATGGCACATCTACACAATGGAATACTATGCTGCCATAAAAAAGAAGGAATTCTTACCATTTGCAGCAACCGGGATGGAACTGGAGAACATTATGCTAAGTAAAATAAGCCAGTCAATGAAAGAAAAATTCCACATGATCTCACTCATTTGTGGATAATAAAGAACATTATAAACTGATGAACAAAAAGATAGATACAGAGACAGTAAAGCATCAAACAGGCCGTCAAATTACAGCAGGAAGGTTAGGGAGAGGTGGGGGAGGTAAGAGATCAACCAAAGGACTTATATGCATGTATATGAGCATAACCAATGGACATAAAACACTGGGGGGTGAAGGCATGTATGGGAGTGGGGTTGGTGGGGCAATGGTAAGATATGTACACATATAATACCTTAATTTTAAAAATGGAGAAAAAGAAGAGTATGGCATTATGAATTTAAGGTGAAGACTCATATCCTAAGACCTGTTTATTGTACTGGTTTTTATCCTAGAGGATTTTTCATACAAGTGTAACAGAATGTATATGCAAAATGTGCATGTTACTACTGTTCTTAATAGCTGAAATTGGGGAGTCATATAAACGCCCATTACTTATAAAATGTACAAATAAATCATGGCATAGAGACACAATAGAATTCTTTGGGAAGATGTAAGGACAAGCTGAATAAAACCTAAGAGCCCTTGCTGACTATAATGTAATGTGTATCACTGAGGGGGAGGTGAGGCACAAATGAGGAGAATTCATGCTCTGCAGATGAGCCTCTCAATATTGCCAATATCTGGCTTTACCTCAGAGACTGTTTTGTTGGCTAGAGTTCTATCATTTTTCACAAGCCCTGTCTATAGTTTCTAAAGTTGGCCAAATGCTTACGGGTCAGTGTAAAATATCAAAAGTAATCATATTTTTAAAATATCTTGATGTATAGTATGATTTTTAACACCAAGAGAAGCTCAATTAATATGAAGGAAGGAATGACAGTCTGAATTATTAGAGAGAAAACAAGAGGTTTTGAATCCATATGATTTTGGATTCTCTGAGCCTCATTTTCTTATTGACAAAAAGAAGACAGTCATTCCTAGACAACAACCCCATGAGGCATTCTTCAAGCAATGTGTGTTTGGGAACATGCAAGTAATGAATTTATAAATAAATTAGATTCATACAAGAATGGGCCTTCCTTTCCCTGGTTGCTGGCACCACCTTTCTGCTCCGGCCCCACCTTTCCATGTTGCCTAAAGGCCCTGAGCAGCTAGAGCGGTGCAGAACACCTGCATGGTAACCATGGCGATGATGCAAGGGTCCTGCCTCACCCCCGGCCAGCCGCTGGGTGCCTGCATATGCAAATTAATCTGCCATCTTTAGCGGGTCAATTTGCATACTCATTCCTGATTGGCTGGTGGGTGTCTTCAAGGTATGGTTAATTTGTATCTTTCTCTTTTATTTTGTAGATATAAATTATCAGCATCTAGCACTCAGCAGTTGTGACTCTGCTGGGTTCACTCAGGAAACTTGAATGCTTTGGTTAGCAAAAGCCTTACATAAACTATGGAAATGTCCCATTGGTTTTCCTTCATCACACCTCAGTAGTGACGAACTTGGTGCTCCCCAAATTCCAACTATGATACTAATGTAGGTGTTTGCTGTATGTTAGAATTCCAGGCATTGAGTTTTTTGAATGGTATTGAAAACAACTAAAATCGGTTAAAAAATTGGATAGAGGTTAAATAAGGAAAGTTTTGCAAAATAATGAAAAAGAATATGTCTTTATTTGCATGTTAGCAAATAAGAGCTCAGGTGTTTTTTTGTTTTTTTTCTACCATCAATTATGAGAAATTTCATTTTATGTTGAGAACATAGAGTACCTGGATTAGAGTGCAGCTAACTCTCTGGAAGAAAATAATTTCTATAAGGAGAATTATGTGCCTACCCATTAGCCTACCTGAGTGCTTTCTGAGCCTGCAATTTTTAAAAAGAAATTAATTGCACATCCAAAAAACAAGTATACATACTATTTCAATGTGGTAAATCAAGAAATTATCCATGTACCATTTAGACACCAAAGGCCCATATAAGAGCCATGAAAAGTGTGATGTTTTTCCTGTTACTATTTGTTGTTTATTTCCTGTCTCTTTTTATAACAATTTTCCATTTTGAGGTGATGCAGAACAAACTGGTCCTTTTGCTTGGCCAGGCTATTATAAATCAATTATCCTGATTCTGGGAAATGGTGAACTCAGAAAGGCTTCCCTTTCGGTGATGGGCAGCTGAAGTGCTGTTGAAAGTTGGGAAACCCTGAGATTCATAGACTACTCTGGAGACCAGAACATATAATCTGGAAGGAAATATCGGTAACTTAAGTTTTTGTATGGTATTTCACCCTTCTTTGGGGTTCTTCTGTAATATGTAATATCAAATATTTTTAAATGTTTATTTGAAACTAGTGGCCTGGTGCACGAAATTCGTGCATGGGTGAGGGATGGGTGTTCTTCAGCCCAGCCTGCAAACTCTCCAATCTGGGACCCCTCAAAGCATGTCCTACTGCCGGTTTATAGGGATCAGGCCTAAACTGGCAGTCAGACATCCCTCTCGTAATCCAGGACTACTGGCTCCTAACTGCCCACCTGCCTGCCTGCCTGATTTCCCCTAACCCCTCTGCCTGCTGGCCTGATTGCCCCCAACTACCCCTGCCACTGGCCTACTTGCCCCCAAATGCCCCCTCACTAGCCTGATAACCCCCAATTTCCCTCTCACCCCCACTGGCCTGCTTGACCCACCTTCCTCCCCACTGGCCTGCTTGCCACCAACTGCCCCCCTGCTGGCCTACTCACTCCAAACTCCCTCCCCGCCCCCTGCTATCCTGATTACCTCCAACTGACCCTCACTGACAGCCTGCTTGCCTCCAACTGGTCCCCCTGCTGGTCTTTTTACTCCCAACTGCTCCCCTCACCAGCCTGATCACTCACAACTACCATCCCATCCTGGCCTGATCACCCACAACTGCCCTCCCGTCTTGGCCTCTAACCACCTCTGCCTCAGCCCTGCCACCATGGCTTTGTCCAGAAGAATGTCCGGAAGGTCTCCTGGAAGGTCTCCCAGTCTAATTGGCACATTACCCTTTTATTAGTATAAATAGAGGCCTGGTGCATGAATGGGGCCCGCTGGTTTGCCCTGAAGGGTGTTCCGGATCAGGGTGGGGGTTCCCTTGGGGTGTGGGGTGGCCTGGATGAGGGGCCTGTGGTAGTTTGCAGGCTGGCCACACCCTCATGGGGTGAAGGTCCCCGCTGGGGGGTGTGGCCAGCCTGGGTGAGGGGCTGAGGCACATGTGTCAAACACAAGGCCCGCGGGCCAAATCCGTCCCGCCAGGCCTTGCAATGTGGCCCGCACCGCGCTGTCATCACTGCACTCCGCTGTGTTTCCATCACAATGACAGTTTATGACTGTTCAGTAAACCATTCGGCCTGCGATTTAGGCTGGATTTTAGATTTTGGCCCCTTCTCTGATTGAGTTCGACACCCCTAGGCTGAGGGATGTTTTCAAGTTGGCCACACCCCCTTCAGGGTTGGGGGTCCTGCTGGGATGTTTGGCCAGCATGGGTGAGGGGCTGATTGATAGCTGTTTGCAGGCTGGCCACGCCCCCCAGCGACCCAAGCTCCCAGCCCCTCCTTTTTTTTTTTTTTTTTTTTTTTTTTTAGTGTCTTCTTGAGCAGATGCCAGGACCAGCTGGAAGCAGGTATTTGGGATTTATTTATCTTCTATAATTAAAACTTTGTAGCCTTGAGCAGAGGCCAGGGCTGGCCAGGGCAGGTGGAAGCTTGGCTTTCTCTATTGCCAGAGGAAACCAAACCTCCTGCTAGCTCTGGCTCCATGGCTGCTGTCATCTTTATTGAGTTAATTTGCATACTTGCTCTGATTGGCTGGTGGGCATAGTGGAGGTATGGTAAATTTGCATGTTTTCTTATTAGATAGGACTAGAGGCCTGATGTACAAAATTTGTGCATGGGGAGCGGGATTTCCCTCAGCCTAGCCTACACCCTCCTCCAATCTGGGAACCCTCGAGGGATGTCTGACTACCCATTTAGGCCCACAGGGATCGTGCCTAAACAGGCAGTCGGACATCCCTCTCACAATCCAGGACTGCTGGCTCCTAACTGCTCACCTGCCTGCCTACCTGATTGCCCCTACTGTTTCTGCCTGCCAGCCTGATTACTCCCTAACCACTCACTGCCAGCCTAATCAATGCCTAACTGCTCCCCTGCCTGCCGATGATCCTTAACTGTCCTCCCCTGCTGGCCTGGTCACCCCTAACTGTTCTCCCCTGCTAGGGGTGAAGGGAGGCAAAGGGGAAGAAAATGGGGGACATCTGTAATAAAATCAACAATAAAAAAATTAAGTGGAATATCTAGTTATAAGAGCTTTTGCCAGCAACAAATTATATTAATAGTATTCCAGTTCTCCCTTCTTCGGAAAATTTTAATAAAAATGTAATAAAGTATACATGACAGACATATATTGACTAAAATGTTATTATGCACATCAGTTTTCCAATTGTAAGGATAAAATTATAAATATTTGTTACTAGTTTCTCAGAATCAAGAAACAACCTGTATATCCTTCACTTATTCCACTTTATTACCTTTATATTTAATGATTCATGATATATAGATATATACATTATCAGGAAACTGCAAATTTCTATTCTATTTAACATTTTGTATAAATTGTCATATTAAAGGACTGTTATTTGAACAAGTCTTTTATAAAACCAGTTATATCCAGCAACTTTTGGGAAGAATCAATGCCCTGTTAAATTATATTTTTTACTTAGATTTTAAGATATTACATATCTTAAGATATCTTAAGATTTTAAGATATTAAAGATATTAAAATATATTAAATATATTTTAATGTAATTTTATACATCTTAAGTCATTTGTATTTTATATCTGCATAAACTGATTTCAATTTTTTTAGAGTGTAAAAACAGTCTTCTTTTAAAAAATACTTTTCTTGTTTCCTTTGTAATTTAAAAATTTTAGACACAGGGTAAAGGAAAGGACACCAAGTCCAAGTTCAGCTAATGAGGGTCATTTTCCCCAAATGAATTGTATGTAAAACAGTATCTATAAGAATAAGAGAAGGAATGAGTGCCAGAAATAAAACATGAAAATATTGATGTATAAATATTTCTCTTCTCCACGTCCAGCGCATCTAGACAGTGGTTGAGTAGGGGCCATGAAGGATTGAGAAAATAAAAGAGACAGACACAAATAAAGTAGAGAAAGCTGGGACTGGGTGGGACCACTGTCCTCTGATGGAGAGACAGGGTCCCAGAGCCAATACAGCACATTTATTTTATATAGCAAAAACCAGGATGTTTTACTAAAGGTCAAGACAAAGGAGATTATATGCATTCTTGGGTGGGCCGGAATCATATTCATTCCTGGTGCTTGGCTGGAGTTAGATAATGAAACCTACCTCCTGGCACCTGGGCTGAAGGTCAGGCTGACAATACTCCTACCTCTGGCAAGGTGTGTTTCCAGGACATGGCTCTGTCAACACCACTGGAATCAGCTGACAATACTTAAGGAAATGTTCATGTGCCTTCCTGGGCACTTTCTATTGTACATTGATGCATTTGGAATTCATTCTGAAAACAATAATCAGGTTATTACTGGGGAAAACCCTCTACAAAAGAACAAGATTATAAATAGAGGAAACAATGAGAAGATGAATCTTATCATCACTGGCAAAAATGATGAGGGTATGAACTAAGATGGTTGCCATAGGCTTGGTGAGCAGGGAGTAGATTTGAGAGACATTAAAATCATAAAATCACCTGGATGTAGTAACCAAATACGTGTGAAAGGTGAACAAAGGTGAAATCAGGTTGACACAGGTTTCTGGCTTCTGTGAATGATGACCTACAAAGGACTAGCTCTATCATTACAGAATTGATACTGGATTCGTTTGAGAAATTAAGAACCAGATTTTATAAATTCTCCTTATTCCATGGAGTGAATCATTCAATACTAGACAGGTTAAAAAAGAGAGAGAGCTCTAGTTGTTTGGCTTAGTGGGTAGAGCATTGGCTGGAGGATTAAGGGGGCCTGGGTTTAATTAAGGTTAAGAGCACAAATCTTGGATACAGGTTAGATTGGTGTGTGTGGGAGGCAACCAATTGATGTGTCTCTCTCACATCCATGTTTCTCTCTGTGTCTTTCCCATTCCCTTCAACTCTCTCTAAAAAAATCAATGGGAAAATATCCTTGGGTGAGGATTAACAAAAAGTGAGAGAGAGAGAGAGAGAGAGAAAGAGAGAGAGAGAGAGAGAGAGAGAGAGAGAGAGAGAGAATTAAAAAAAAAAGGTATCATCAATTTTATCAATCTTCTATCTCTCTTATTTCTCTTATTTTATCTCTGGTCCTGAGGGCATGAAACAGTGAAGGTGCATTCTTTCTCTGAATGTGATTTGTTGGCAACCAACTTGATGATTAAAAACAAAACAAAACCCATAATCTCTTCTTTTATTGTGTCTGGGTTGTGGTGGACCCCCATTTTTTGTTCTGAGAGGTTGACGTGTCAAGTTCAATTAGTCTGAAAGCATCATCTAAGTAGCAGAAGTGTCTATGTGGTCCTGCCTTTACACATTCCAGGAACAGTGGCTCACACTATCTCCTCCCTCAGGCTAGCTGGGTCATAAATTTGAACTTTTAGGTTTACTATTAGATTATTTGCTCTAAAGACCCCATCAGAAAAGTGGGGCTGGGGATGACATCTAATTACTCTTGGTTCCATTGCGTTGCAGCTGTTCGTAAATAAAAATGTTCTTCTTGTTAATTTCAGGTGATTAGAACAGATACCTCTTAGGCATTTTGTATTAAAAACAAAAATATATGCAACAGAATAGTCCTAAATATAGTTACAAAATTTAAAGCACTTTTCCATAAAGTAATCTGAACAATTTTCGGGGGGGGGGGGGGAGGGGAGGGAGGGGAGAATTTCCATGCTTTAGCTAATGCTTTTCTTTCTTCCTACTCTCCCTACTTTCTCAAGAATTTTTTTTTTTTAAGTTATACTCATTTTTATACTTCAAAAAAACTTCTGAGGAAAAAGATAAATTCAATTTTTGTGATTTATAGTTTGGAGTGCCTATGTTTCATAAAAGGCTTAGCATTAAAAAATAATGTTTAAGATGCAAATGACAGATGAGCTAAA